CCTAACCACTCCCCTGCCAGCCTGATCAACGCCTAACTGCTCCCCTGCAGGCCCAATTGCCCCCAACTGCCCTCCCCGATGGCCTGGTCACCCCCAACTATCCTCCCCTGCCAGTCTGGTCACCCCTAACTGCCCTCCCCTGCAGACCGGGTCGCCCCCAACTGCCCTCCCCTGCAGACCCGGTTGTCCCCAACTGCCCTCCCCTGCAGGCCTGGTCCCCCCCAACTGCCCTCCCCTGCAGGCCTGGTCACCCCTAACTGCCCTCCTCTGCAGGTCATCTTGTGGCGGCCATCTTTGGCCACTTGGGGGCGGCCATCTTTGTGTGTTGGAGTGATGGTCAATTTGCATGCTGATCATGACGAATTAGCATATCCGGTCATGACTGTAAGGGTGTCGTGACCAATTTGCATACTACCCTTTTATTAGTATAGATGATTTGAAGTTTCTTTGCAAATTTTTGTTACATTTAACTACTAGCCATTTAACTTTTTAAAAAATGTTATTGTAAATAACATCTTTCATTGTTTGTTTGTTGCTGGTATATAGAAATATAATAGATTTTTTTATGCTCTCCTGTATTAAATAATCTGCTGAAATTACTCATTATTATGTCTTAAAATTATTTTATTTATCTGCAAAAATAACATTTTTTCCCTTCCTTCCTAATCCTTATACATTTTACTGTGTTTTTTTAACCTAACTGTATTGGCTAGAACAGGGGTGGGCAAACTTTTTGACTCGAGGGCCACAATGGGTTCTTAAACTGGACCGGAGGGCCGGAACAAAAGCATGGATGGAGTGTTTGTGTGAACTAATATAAATTCAAAGTAAACATCATTACATAAAAGGGTACGGTCTTTTTTTTTTTTTTAGTTTTATTCATTTCAAACGGGCCGGATCTGGCCCGCGGGCCATAGTTTGCCCACGGCTGGGCTAGAACCTCTATAACAGTATCAAACAAAAGTCATGCTAACCAGTATCTTTGTCTTGCTCCATATTAAAAAGAAAGCATGCATTGTATTACCATTAATAAAATTTCCTGTAAATTTTTTTGGGGTAGATATCCTTTATTAAAGTTTAAAAAAATTCCCATCTACAGTTTGCTAAAAATTTTATCATGATGGGTATGAAATTTTATTAATAATTTTTCTTTATATAATGACATGATAATGTGATTTTTCTCCTTTATTCTGCTACTATTATTATGCTGGATGATTTTTAAGTTTTAAACTATCTTGCATTCCTGGAAAAATCAACTTGTTATTAATGTATTATTCTTTCTAAATACAGCTACATTCAGTTTGCTATTATTTTGTATGCAAATATTTACACATCAGTCTTCATGAGTGACACTGCTCTGTAATTTTCCTTTCCTAAAATACTCATGTTAGGTTTGATATCAAGGTTATGCTGATCTCTAAACAAACTGGTACCCTACAATCCATAATGGATAGAACCACCAGACAGAAAGGAAACAGAGGACTTGAACAAGACTATAAACCAATGAGAACTAACAGACATTAACAGAACACCCCACTCAGCAACAGTGGAATATACATTCTTCTCATGTTCTCTAGGACAGACCATAATGTTAGGCCACAAAACAAGTCTCAAATTTAAAAAGACTGAAATCATGCAAAGTATCTTTTCTGATCAAAATGGAATAAAACTGAAATGTAGTAACAGAAGGAAAACTAGGAAATTCACAAATATTTGGAGAATACTCTTAAAACAACTAATATGGGGGCTATCTCCCTTAACCACAAGGGGTATGTTCCAAGACCCCCAGTGAATGCCTGAATCCCTGGACAGTACCAAGCCCCATACACCTATATGTTTTTCCTATACATACATATCTATAATAAAGTTTAATTTATAAATGAGGCACAGTAAGAGATTAGCAACAATACTAAAACAGAACAATTATAACAATATACTGTATAAGTTACATGAATGTAGCATTATTAAGTAAAATAAGGGTTACTTGAACACAAGCACTGCAATACCCTGACAGTTGATCTGATAACCAAGTCGGCTACTAAGTGACTAATAGGCAGGTAGCATTAAATTGGGCTGTTAGGGTATAAAACTATGCTGCACAGGCCACCCATGTGACTGACGGGATGTCATTACTACATTTCTGCTCAACATAATAGAAAACAACAGTGTTACTGAAATTACTTTCAATAAGCAAACCAATAGTCATAAAATGTTATAATGTAAAGAGCAAGAAAAAACATTATCTTCAGTTTATAAAAAGATTGTTTGTCAAAAATAAAGGAATATTCATGACCAGTCAAAAAAAACCAATTCCTGCATTAAGTGGCAGAAAGTACACAAAACCAAAAATAATTTTAAGAGTATATCAAGTTTTCTTAATAAGGGTATCAGGGGGAGAAAACAGGAAAAGGCATTCAAGTTCTTTCAAGCGCCCCAACTTAAAACAACTCCAAACTGTCTAATGATGGCATAGGAAGTCAAAGAAAACAGATGTAAACAGTGAAGCAATGCAGTTGCTGCTCACGTGTTTAAAAGATCCATAGGGAACTGCTGTGGACCCCGTCTCTTCCAGATAATCTTCCCAGCTTAATTCCACTTCTTCCACACCAGACCCAGCATCTGGAATTAAAGACAAAATAAAACAAATAAAAAAACAGGTGGACCCCAATTAAAGAAAACTCAAGGTGCAAAAACATAAATTTAGTAATAAACCTAACTTACAATTGACTTCACAAGTTAACTGGCTTTATGGTAGGTTCCCTTGGTGCACTGGCCGTCAATGAACCTCAACAGCACGAAGTGTGACATGCTGTCTCCTGTTGGGACCCATCTGGGCTTCACCCAAATGGATCACATGACGCTGGTGAGAGTGTAACTATTACAACCACTTTGGATTGTACTTAGTACCTAACACCAAGTATTTGAGATACTTAATAGGTAGGCATTTCCAACTTGAATTTTTAATCTGATTTCTCCAACTAAGTAAAACATACCCTCGTCGATATTTTGGTTCAATCCAAAAAATGTGACATTATCCTTGCTTTCCTCCCTTTCTTTCACATCTAACATCCCACATCCAAACTATCAGAAAATTCTCTAGGTATCACCTTTAAAATATATCCCAAACCTAATCACATCTCACCATTCCTATTGTTCTCTCTCGTCCAAGGCCTAACCTTGACATCACTCACTTTTTAATCACATTGATGAAAAATCTAAAATCTTTGAGAGATTGTAAAGTCGCTACATGATCTGATCCTCTTACAACCTACCCTGCCACTTCATTCCCAATCAGCCTCTTGTTTGCTCACTGCACTCGAGTGACACTGGCTTTATTCTTCTTTTAATCTAATCATGTTCTTTCCTCAAAGCCTCTGCATTTGCTATTTCCGCAGCCCAAGACTGATCTCCCAGTGTCATTCACACCTTCATTGCATTCAAGCCTCTACTCAGTTGTCTCCAACAAGGCCTTCCAAGCAGTGCCCACAGTAGAAAACTCCCAGGCTCTGCTTTCTGGTCTTCAAGGCATTCATTCCTGTTGGACAGTACACCATGTCTTTTATCTTCCCCTTTAGAAAACAAGCTCTATGAAGACAGAAACTTTGTATCTCCACTGCCAATAACAATGCCTGGCACTAGTGAGTTTGCAATGAACAGTGCTGCCTTTGGGGATGGAGAGGAGAAAACATGATTAGAAGAGAAGTTCTAAAAAGTACTAAAGAGGCATAAACTGGGTTGTGCCTATCTAGTACTTACTTATTTTTAAAAATGAAAACAGCCCTAGCCAATTTGGCTCAGTGGATAGAGCAGTGGCCTGCAGACCAAGAGTCCTGGGTTTAGCCGAAATCGGTTTGGCTCAGTGGATAGAGCAGTGGCCTGCAGACCAAGAGTTCCGGGTTTGATTCCGGTCAAGGGCATGTATACAGGGTTGCAGGTTCGCTACCTGCTCTGATTCTGGCACATACAAAAGGCAACCAATCAATGTGTCTCTCTCACATCAATCTCTCCCCCCCTTTCCACTCTTCTCTCTGAAAAGCAATAGAAAAAATATCCTCAGGTGAGGATTAACAACAAAAAGCAGAAAATACATGTTGGCAAGGAAGTGAGAAATTAGAATCTTGTGCACTGCTGGTGTTGGAATGTAAAATGGTATGGCCACTGTGGAAAACTATACGGTGGTTTCTCAAAAATTAAAAATACAATTACCATAGGATCTACCAATTCTACTTCTGGGTATATATCCAAAAGGAGTGAAAGCAGAATCAAACAGACATTTGTACACAAATGTTCATAGCAGCAATATTCACAATACCCAAAAGGTGGAAGCAGCCCAAGTATCCATCAACAGAAGAAGAAATTAAAATGTGATACATCCATACAATGGAGTATTATTCAGTCTTTTAAAAAAAGAAGGAATTCTGACCATAATACAACATGGATGAACCTAGAGGACATTATGCTAAGTGAAATAAGCCACCTGCGAAAGGATAAATACTGTATGGTTCCACTTACACGAGGTAGCCAGAATAGTCAAATTCACAGAGGCAGAAAGAAAAACGGTAGTTTCCAAAACTGTGGGGCAACGAGAATGGGGAGTTTGTGTTTAACGAGCATAGAGCTTCAGTTTGAGAAAATGAAAAATGTTCTAGGGATAGACTGTGGTAATGAGTGCACAACAATATGAATGTACTTAATGCCACTGAACAGTACACTCTTTTAAAAATGGTTAAAATTGTAAACTGTGTACAATGGATATTTTACCACAATAAAACAATGGAAACAAATGTAAGACAATGTTAACATTTATTAATTCTTCAGGGTAGCTATGTGGGTGTTCTTACATTGTTTCCCTTTCATTTTTATATATTTGCAATTTTTCACTAGAAATGTAACAAGCCAACAAAGACCACATTGGAAATCTCCTAGAAGTATGGGCCAGTAGAAAGTCAATTTCCATTACTAAAACATAGCATGGCTGAACACTCATGGTGCTTAACAAGGACCCTAGTCCCTGAAACAGCATGCTACCTTAAAAATAAAAATAAACAACAACAATAAAAATAATGAGCTAAGGAACTAAAGTTTCTCATACATTAAAAACTATTAAAAAACAGAGAAGAAACAGGTTAATGACTGGATAGAAAAATGAGCAAAATACAGGAAAAGAAATTTTATAAAAAAGAAATTCAAAGGTCCTGAAACATATGGAAAGATATGCAAATGTACTCATTTTTAAGAGAAATGCAAATTAAAACTGCACTGAAATATCACATTGGGAAAAATTCCAAAGTTTGACAACATACTCTATGGTGAGGCTATAGTTAAGCAGGTAAAGCACAATGACACAACCCTAGTGAAAGAAAACTTGGCAATATCTAACAAAATGATATATGTATTTACCTTTTGATCCAGCAATCCCACTTCTAGGAATCTATTCCAAAGATATGCTGGCAAAATACAAAAAGACATATGTACAAAGCTATTCACTGCAGCACTACTTATGAATCAAGACTGCAAAGACCCAATGTCCATCAATAAGGAACTGGCTGAACGATCTATGGTTTATACATCCAGCACTATACAACTGTAAAAAGGAATGAGAACAATTTCTACATACTGATGTGGGATGCTTTCCAGTATATTCAGTGAAACTGGAAACTACAAATCAGTTGTTATTGTATCTCTACTTTTGTGTATGGTGAGAGAGGTATAGAAATAAATATATCTGTACATACACCTATTTGTTTATTTTTAATTTTCTTGTTAATCCACACTGGAGGACATTTTCCCACTAATTTTTAGAGAGAGTGGAAGGGAGGGGGAGAGACAGAGAGAGAGAAACATCGGATGTGAGAGAGACACATAGACTGTTTGCCTCCAGCATGCACCCCAACCAGACCAAGGCCGGGGATTGAGCCTGCAGCTGAGGTACATGCCCGTGACCGGGATAGAACCCGGGACCCTTCAGTCCGTGGGCTGACGCTCTATCCACTGACCCAAACCACCTATGGCTGTTTATATTTTTAATGAACAGTAGAAATAAATAATAAAATAGTTAGTATAAGAAGAACAATGGAAAGAGTAAAAATATTTAAAAATATTTTCCTTCTCCTAGAGTTTTCTAAATTATGTTTGAAAGTTGAAACAAAAATTTTAATATCTGATATGGTTCTCAAAATATGAAGAGGAAATATTTATGATAATTATATTACAAGGTAAAGACATAAAAATAGGTAAAGTTTCTACATGTGACTCAAACCAATAAAATGATGATACCAACAGACTGATAAGTTATGTACATAAAATGTAATACCTAGAGCAACTACTAAAAAGCTATACAAAAAGATACACTAAAAAACACTATAGACAAATCTAAATGTAATTCTAAAAAAATATATTCAAGTAACCCACAGGAAGGCAGGAGGTAGAAGACAAAAATAATCCCAGAAAACAGATGAACAAAAATAGCACACTTGAGCCCTAACTTACCAATAATTACATTAAATGTATAAGGTCTAAATACACAATAATTATAAGACTGAAATTTAAAAAAAGATTATGTGCTGTTATAAGAAACTTCAAATATAATGATATATAGGCAGGTTGAAGGTATAAGAATAAAAAAGATATACCATGTAAATAAACATTAATCAAAAGGAAGCAGAAATAAGTAAATCCATACAGAAAGGAGACTAATGGTGGTTGCCAGAGGCTGAGTGGGGCAAGAAACAATTGCTAACTGTTTCTTTTAGGGGGTGATGAAAATGTTTTAGAAATACTAGTGATGGTCACAAAACTTTGTGAATATGCTGAAAGCCACTGAACTGTACACTCTATAAGGGCATAATTATACCTCAAAAAAAGAAAAATACCTCAATAAAGTTGTTTTTTTAAAAGCTCAATGTTTAAAGAAATAATTATTAGTTAAAAAGCAGACATATAGCCCTGGCTGGTGAGAACATCATCCCGCACATCAAAGGGTCTCAGGTTCAATTCCTGGTCAAGGGCACGTACTTGGGTTGTGGGTTTGATCCCCGGCCCCAGTCGGTAGGGGCTTGTGTGGGAGGCAACCAATTAATGTATCTCTCTCTCTTTTCCTCCCTCCCCTCTACTCTTTCTGAAGAGCAATGGAAAAATATCCTCAGGTGAGGATAGAAAAAAACAACAAAAGGCCCTAGCTGGTTTGGCTCAATGGATAGAGCATCCTCCTGCAGACTGAAGGGTCCCAGGTTCGATTCCAGTCAAGGGCACATGCCTGGTTGCAGGCTCAATCCCCAGTAGGGGGCGTGCAGGAGGCAGCCAGTCAATGATTCTGTCTCATCATTGATGTTTCTATCTCCCTCTCCTTCTCCCTTCCTCTCTGAAATCAATAAAAATATATATATTTAAAAAAACAAAAGGCAGATAAACCATAAACGAACCAAATAGATGGAGACACTGTGCTGAAGAGGATACAGCACATGTTCAACATCACTAGCCACTAGGAAAATGCAAATTAAGATCAGGATAAGCTGTCACTATTAGATGCCCATCAGAGTTAAATAAAAAATAGTGACAATAGCAAATGATAGTGAGAATGAGAAGAAACTAAATCTCTCATACATGGATGGTGAGAATGTAAAATAGTATAATCATCCTGGAAAGTAGTTTGGCAGTTTCTTTATTAAACGTATGATCCAGCAATTGTGTTCCTAGACATGTACCCCAGAAAAATGAAATCTGAAGTATACTATTGCGCAAGCAGCTTTATTTTTTTTTTTAAATATATTTTATTGATTTTTTACAGAGAGGAAGGGAGAGGGATAGAGAGTTAGAAACATCGATGAGAGAGAGACATCGATCAGCTGCTTCCTGCACACCTCCTTCTGGGGATGTGATCGCAACCCAGGTACATGCCCTTGACCAGAATCGAACCCGGGACCCTTCAGTCCGCAGGCCAACGTTCTATCCACTGAGCCAAACCAGTTAGGGCGCAGCTTTATTTTTAGTAGCCCAAAACTGGAAGCAACCAAAACGTACAACAGTAGATGAATAGTTAACCAAACTGTAGTATATCCATGAAACACTGCTCAGCAATAAAAGGAAACAAACTATTGATATGTGCAAAAATTTGGATGGATCTCAAGGGCATTATTTTGAGTGATGAAAGCAACCTCAAAAAATCACATACTATGTGGTTCTATATGTGTAACATTCCTGAAATGACAAAATTATAGAGATAGAGAACAGACTAATGGTTGCCTGACTTAGGGAAGGCTGGGGGAAAGAAAGTAAGTATAAGTATGAAGGGGCAGAATAGGGAGCTCTTTGTGGTGATGGAGTAGTTCTGTATCTTGCCTGAGGTGGTGGTTACAGGAATCTATCCTATATAATAAAAGGCTAATATGCAAATCGGCTGAACGGCGGAATGATCAGTCGGTAGGACGCGCACTGACCACCAGGGGACAGACACTCAACTCAGGAGCTGCCCCCTGGTGGTCAGTGCACTCCTACAGGGGGAACGCTGCTCAGCCAGAAGCTGGGCTCACGGCTGGCGAGGGCAGCAGAGGTGGTGGCAGCACTCAGGATGTCCGTCAGTCGGACATCTCCCGAGGGCCCTGCACTGCGA